CACCTCAGCCTTCCAAAGTGCTGGGATTACAAGTGTGAGCCACCACACCAAGCCCAAGAACTGTATTTTCATTAAAACACCAAGAAGCAACAGCAATGCCACTGTGTTTATTTCATTAATTCCTAGGGCTGCCTTGTACTATTTGCCCAAAATACTAGTTTTTCACTAGGTCCCCTTAAGTCCACTCTGAAAACAAGTTACAGAATAGGCTAGGGCATAGTCAACCTTATTAAGATTACAGATGGCGCTGGGCACGGCGGCTCATACCTGTCATCCCAGCATTGTGGGAGGCCAAGGCGGGCAGATCATGAGGTTGGGAGTTCAAGACCAGCCTGGCCAACATAGTGAAACCTCTATTAAAATACAAAAATTAGCTGGGCATGGTGGTGCATGCCTGTAGTCCCAGCTACTCGGGAGGCTGAGGCAGGATAATTGCTTGAACTCAGGACGCATAGGTTGCAGTGAGCCGAGATCAAGCCCCTGCACTCCAGCCTGGGAAACAAAAGGAGACTCAGTCTCCAAAAAAAAAAAAAAAAGATTATAGGCTGGGTGCAGTGGCTCAAGCCTGTAATCCCAGCAGTGGCTCAAGCCTGTAATCCCAGCACTTTGGGAGGCTGAGGCAGGCGGATCATGAGGTCAAGAAATTGAGACCATCCTGGCCAATGTGGTGAAACCCCGTCTCTACTAAAAATACAAAAAAAATTAGCTGGGCATGGTGTTATGTGCCTGTAGTCCCAGCTGCCCGGAAGGCTGAGGCAGGAGAATTGCTTGAACCCAGGAGGCGGAGGTTGCAGTGAGCCGAGATCGCACCACTGCACTCCAGCCTGGTGCCTGGTGACAAAGCAAGACTCTGTCTCAAAAAAAAAAAAAAAAAGATTTTCGATGCATTTAAATCCTCAAGTTTTAAGGTCAGCAGTTCCTGGGATGGAAAACCATAGTAGTACAAATTTTCTAGTTCTTTTCAACGTTCCAAAAGTATGTTGGCATATACCAACCTCATCTACACCATTGTCTATACAGTATGTACAGGAGACCCTGGCTTCATGATTTATCCCAGGAGTATACAGGGCCAGACCAGTTACCAGTTGTCTTTTCAGAAGCTTATTGTCTCTCTCCTTTGCTGTCTCTGGCTAGAATAACCAAGTTGGGATGGATATTTGACATTCTAAACTAGCCAACATTTAACCCTCTTTTTCCCTACCCACTTCACAGTCTATGTTGGCCCGAAATTTCCCATTGGTAAATGTGTTTGGCTGGGTGAACCCAGCTATCTTCATTTCATTTTATTTTAACCCAAAATACCATAATGAGACCACATATTGGTCACTTGAGGTTTTATGTTGGAGTATTAAAGAAGCCAATTCAAAGTGGCACTGGGAAAGCAGAGGACTGAAATCAAAAACTGGAAAGAAAAACAACGTTACAAATCTGTCCTGGGCCAACAGAACCCCAAAAACAGATTAAGGAATCTGTCTCCAGACCAAAGGCAATAAAGTGGGAAATGAGAAGAGATAGAGACCATTTAGGAACTTATTAATGAGAATAGACACTTCCTGTTAGCCAGGCCTACTTAGGCCTTATTAGTTAATCAAACAAAGACATTTCCTAGTTAGTCAGGCCTTTCCAAGAGAGGAAAGCAGATACTAAGAATCTTCACCGAAATGATGTTGGTCTGAAAGTGATATACGTTGCATCTCCAGTTTATTTTTTTTTAGACATTTTACTAGCTCTGGTGTGGTTAAGTTACTGGAGTTTCTATGTGCTCTGCATTCTACTAACACAGAATTAGACATCAAAGGAGAAAATGAAAAAACAAAACAAAAGAAGAAAAAGCCAAGAAAAGAGAAAATAAAGCTTAAAAGTGATAAAGTGAGTTTAAATCACACACACACACACTCACTCACTCACTCCCTACTAAAGTACTGATCTATACATACAAATATGAAATCACAGATCAAACTGTTGTTCCTCCTGGAAACTACTGCCTTCATTGCAACTGGGTCACAGTGATCACAGCTATGCTTCTCAGGCAGGAGGAAAAAGAGGCCTGGTAGCAGAAAACTTGTTTTTAATGGGAATGACAAAGAAACGATATAAGGTGTTCAGAAAGTCCAAATGAATTAGAATACTGGCTCTTCCCTTAGTCTTTGAACTGTTAATGTTTATCACCTGACCACTTCTGTGCCAAGCACAATCCTTATTCATTAAGTCATACAACTGGGGACAGGTCTTGGCTCAAATGTCCATCCTTCAGTGAGGCCTCATTCACTCGAGATGAGGTGGCTTGTTCAGGAATCTAGAGAGTTTGTTAAAAAAAAAAAAAAAAAAAATTTAAGACAGGGTCTCACTCTCTTGCCTAGGCTGCAGTCCAATAGCACAATCAGGGCTCACTGCAGCCTCCAATTAACTCCTGGGCTGAAGTGATCCTCCTGCCTCAGCCTCCCAAGTAGCTGGGACTACAGGTGCATGCCACTAGGCCCAGCCAATTAAAAAAAAAAATACACACACACACACACACACACACTTTTTTTTTTTTTTTTTTGAGGTGGAGTCTCGCCCTGTTGCCCAGGCTGGAGTACAACAGCACGATCTTGGCTCACTGCAACCTCTGCCTCCCGGGTTCAGGCAATTCTCCTGCCTCAGCCTCCAGAGTAGCTGAAATTATAGGCGTGCACCACCACACCCAGATAACCCAGCTAATTTTTTGTATCTTTAGTAGAGATGGGGTTTCATTATGTTGACGAGGCTCGTCTCAAACTCCTGACCTCGTGATCCACCCGCCGTGGCCTCCCAAAGTGCTGGGATTACATGCATGAGCCGCTGTGCCCGGCCTTAAAAATTTTTTAGTAGAGACAAGGTTTCACTATGTTGCATAGGCTGGTCTCGAACTCCTGGTCTCAAGCAATCTTTTCATCTCAGCCTCACAAAGTACGGGGATTACAAGTGTGAGCCACTGCTCCCGGCCTACTTAAAGGGTTTATTTACTAAAACTTCACAAGAGACACAAGGTAAGAAATTCACAGCAAAACTCAGACTGGCCACTAAGCAGTAGGGGGTGAGAAGAGAGAGAGGTCAGTAAAGGCCTACTGAGACTACCAAATCACTCAAGGCCCTGTTCTCAGATCAGACAGCCATCACAGGCAGAAGGGACATTATGGCATTTAATTAGTGCTATGCGAACACTGACCTCTGACATTTAAGTGGCATTTTCTTCTTTTTTATTTTTTTTTAAATTGAGATGGGGTTTCTCCACGTTGGTCAGGCTGGCCTCAAACTCCCGACCTCAGGTGATCTGCCCGCCTCGGCCTCCCAAAGTGCTGGGATTACAGGTGTGAGCTACCACGCCTGGCCTAAGGTGGCATTTTCAAGAATCACGTTCTTGGGAAAGTGTACTGTATTGGTCGTATTTGGAGACCAACATAGTCAAGATTTTTTTTTTTTTGAGACAGGGTCTTGCTGCGTCACATAGGGTAGAGTGCAGTGGTGCCATCATGGCTCACTGGAGCCTCAACCTTCCTGGCTCAAGTGACCCTCCCCTCTCAGCCCCTAAAGTAGCTGGGACTACAGTCTCACGCCATCATGCCTGGCTAATTTTTTTGTTTTTGTAGAGACAGGGTTTTGCCATGTTACTCAGGCTGGTCTTGAACTCCTGGGCTCAAGAAATCTGCCTACCTCAGCATCCCAAAGTGCCGGGATTACAGGCATGAGCCACTGTGCCCTGCCGGTCGAGATCTTAAAATACCTTCCCCACCTTCCTTAAAATCCCAGGACCAGCGGTCCATATTATCTTCATGCCATCTTGTCAAAGAACTAAGAGAAGGAGAAATAGAAGGCAGGGAGCCCCCAAGTCCTAATAAACAAGCAGACATGTTTTGTGACTAGAATTTATCATCACTGCATAGTGAAACTCCATCTCAAAAGTATTTTCTTTCTTCTCCCATTACAGGCTGAATATTTATGTACCTCCGAAATTAGTATGTTGAAGCACTAACCTCCAATGTTATGGTATTATTAACAGGAGGTTGGGCCTTTGGGAGGTACTTAGAGTTAGATTAAGTCATGAGGGTGTGCCCCCATGATGGGCATAGTGACCTTATAAGAGCAAGAGCCAGGGCGCTAGCTCATACCTATAATCCCAACACTTTGGGAGGCTAAGGTGGGCAAATGGCTTGAGGTCAGGAGTTCGAGACCAGCCTGGCCAACGCGGGGTTACCATGTTGGCCAGGCTGGTCTCGAACTCCTGACCTCATGATTCACCCCCTCGGCCTCCCAAAGTGCTGGGATTACAGGCATGAGCCACCACACCTGGCCATGTGTGTTTTAAAGCACTGATAGCTGGTCAGCAACATGTGCTTGCAGCCCAGCTACTTGGGAGGCTGAAGAAAGAAGACTGCTTGAGGCCAGGAGTTGGAGAATGGGCTGTGATTGTGCCTGTGGATAGCTGCTGCACTCCAGCCTAGGAAACATAGCAAGACCCTGCCTCAAAACAAATTTTAATTAAAAAAAAAAAAAAAATACATTACAGGCTGGGCACGGTGGCTCACGCCTATAATCCCAGCACTTTGAGAGGCTGAGGCGGGTGGATCACCTGAGTTCAGGAGTTCTGTACCAGGCTAGCCAACATGGAGAAACCCTGTCTCTACTAAAAATACAAGAACTAGTCAGGTGTGGTGGCATGCACCTGTAATCCCAGCTACTCAGGAGGCTGAGGCGGGAGAATTGCTGGAATCCAGGAGGCAGAGGCTGCAGTGAGCCAAGATCGCGCCACTGCACTCTAGCCTGGGCAACAGAGCAAGACTCTCCCTCTCAAAAAAACAAAACAGCATTACAATAACTCAGATGTAGCTAATTTGAATTTGGTAAAGGCCAATATTGGCTTTAACCACTCAATTCTATCTCCCCTGAAATGAGAAGCAGGGCCCACTGGGGACCTGGAGTCCTGTTTTTGGGGCAGGGAGCTGTCAAGAACTTCCATGGTAGCACTGCAATCTTCCTGTCACCTTTCTGGCCTCCTGCCTGGAGCAAGGTGGTAGCATTCCAGGGGTGCTGGGTCCAAGGGTGGAGAATATGAGGTAGATTGGCAGATGCACAGGAAGGAGGTAGGAGTAGTGTTGTCAACTACTACTCCTCCTGGAGGCTTGCTTCTGAAAAGGACTGTTGCAGAGTAGGAGAGAGAGCTGTGGGACTGACCAATCAGGAGTCATGTTAGAATTGTATTTGATAAACGAATAGTACTTTCACATATCTAATATTTACTATAGCTTCAAGGTAGATATTTTTCCTCATTATATGGTTGAGAATACAGATTCAGAGAAGTTCAGTGACTTGCCTCAAGTCATACTGCCCTAAGGAAACTTTAAACCTAGGTTTTAGAGATGACTCTGCTATGAAACTTTGTACGTGGCACTAAACTTTATGTGTTCATTTCCCCCAAGTGGCAAATTAAGACAATAATCCCTGCCTTTTCAGCAAGTGCTCCATGTTTCTGGAAAAGTAATATCGCTGTGCACATATTTTTGTAATTCAAGTCACTTTCACTCAGATCAAAGGGAAGGACTCTATCTTACACCCTGAATCTCACTCCCAACCCCAAAGATTCCTTGAGAAGGAGGGGACCCAAGGACCAAATGCTGCCAGTTCTCACCACTGGAATCACTAGGTAGCTATAAACCAAGTGCCATGGCCATTCATCAGAAATCCAAAACAATAAAACCCTAAATCAAAGGGATGGAAGGGACTGACAGGAGAGAGCTCTAGGCACAATGTCAAATTGTAACTAAAGGCTTCTCAGTCTTTTACCCCATTTAAGAGTTCCAGGCTGGCAAGGTGCTTTGGCAGGCGCAGTGGCTCACACCTATAATCCCAGCACTTTGGGAGGCCAAGGAGGGTGGATCACGAGGAGTTCGAGACCAGCCTGGCCAGCATGGTGAAACCCCATCTCGACTAAAAATACAAAAATTAGCAGGGCAATCCCATGCCATTGCACTCCAGCTTGGCCAACAGAGCAAGACTCCATCTCAAAAACAAAAAAAGAGTTCTAGGCTATTGCAAAAATAATGTCCTAAGCAATCTTGGTGCCGAAGTAATTTATTTGGAGAAGCAAAATCAGTATTTCAGAGTATAATACCTTTGAAGAGTCAGACAAACCTTGTCTACCTTGTCAGGGAAACCCAACTCTATGTTTTACTAACTATTTAACTAGGTCAAATTTCTTGTCTTACTCTATTTGCTCATTGGTAAAGTAGGAAGATTAATAATAGAACCCACCTCCCATACAGTTTTGAAGATTAATTTAGGAAATTCATCAATATGACCAAGCATATAGTTCTTAGCACATAGGAAGTGCTCAAATACATGGTGACCATCATTTGAAAGTCAGGATCCTTGCCAGGTGCAGTGGCTCACACCTGTACTGCCAGCACTTGGGGAAGCCAAAGTGGGCAGATTACCTGAGGTCAGGAGTTTGAGACCAGCCTGGCCAACATGGTGAAACCCCATCTCTACTGAAAATACAAAAATTAGGCCAGGTGCGGTGGCTCACGCCTGTAATCTCAGCACTTTGGGAGGCTGAGGTGGGTGGATCACAAGGTCAGGAGTTTGAGACCAGCCTGGCCAAGAGAAACCCTGTCTCTACTAAAAATACAAAAATTAGCTAGGCACGGTTGTGGGCACCTACTCAGGAGGCTGAGGCAGGAGAATCTCTTGAACGCAGGAGGTGGAGGTTGCAGTGAGCTGAAATAGTGCCACTGCACTCCAGCCCAGGTGACAGAGACTGTTTCAAAAAAAAAAAAAGAAAGTCAGGATCCTGGTGAGGATCTGTGACCCAGGTACAGATAAACTACCTATAGAATTATTCCCAAAAGCTTTCTAATATGGTACTCCTAAGCAGCTTAAATTCCTAAACAAGCAAAATGTTAGAAATCTGGAGACTACCTCCTTGGAATAGTGTTCAAGTTAGCTAAAAAAGAAAACAAAAGGAGGCCGGGCATAGTGGCTCACGCCTGTAATCCAAGCACTTTGGAGGCAAAGGCGGGCAGATCACCTAAGGTCGGGTGTTCAAGACCAGCCTGACCCACATGGTGAAATCCCTTCTTAAAAAAATAATAAAAAAAAAAGAAAAGGAAAAAAAAGAAATCTGGAGACTAAAAGGTTATCCAAACCTAAATTACCAAGAGTTTCACACAATGCTAGATCAACCTGTGAACTCCCAACACCTTAGAACCAGAACAGAATGTTGTCCAAAGGGCAAGAGAAAAAGACATACGTATTTGCCAGAGAAGACACAGTAATAAACTAATTCCCAGCATTTCTACCCTGTTCTCTAAGGACAATAGAAAGCAATAATGTCTACCCCAGACATGAGAAATCACTGGGCAACAAGAGCCCAAAGATATATCTGTTTCCTCCAAAAGGAAGCACCCAGCGCTATGTAGCCTTTAATCCTCTACCACGTGGCTGAACTCACACTCTTCTTAAAGTCAAAGTACAGGGCAGTTGAGAGTAAACAGCTGGGCCCAAACTCACCTAAGCCCAACAAGCAGACAAGCACGTTGTGACCTGAAGGAAACATAAGGCAAAATAAAAACACCAAGCACACAGCAAGTGAGCTTTTAAATGACTGATATCACACCAACTCCCAAACTCCCCTGGTGCTAGATCTTAAGGGGAAAGAGGATTCCTTTTAACAGAGAAGCCTATAAACAAGCAAGCTGAAAACGAACAAGTTTAAGAGAGAAAAGCATACAAGAATCTTGGCTGCTGGTGTTGAGCCATGGAAAATCATGAATGTGCCAGTGCCAAGGGAGGAGGAAGTCTAATATCTAACTTTGCAGACTTGGGAACATAAAAGCAACAAAGCCATAAGGAAGCTCAAATGCAAAAGAGAGAGAAAAAAACAGGCACATGGCACATTTCCTCTTCATATGGGTAGCAAGTCAAGCAATGCTCTGGGCCTGCAGAGCACTTAGCTCAGTACCCAAAGCCCCTTAGTATTTAATATCAACGTAACTTCCTGGAGGGTGACAAAAATCTGTCCTGGATTACTGGTTGATTTCTAATATGTACCATAACCAACACTAAGTCAACATTTTAGGGATCAAATTTCCTACTCTGCAGCATGTTGGAATGCATTCTTGGCATTAGACTTCTTCCCATTCCAGTCCACCCTTAGAAAATATAGAAGCCACTGAGAAATAACGCCTCAACCTGTCCCAAGACAGTATTCCAGCTATGCACAAGTGACTAACAAAAACAAGTGGAAGTTCATTCAGACATCCCTTCACATTCAGTAAAAAACTAATTTCATCCATTTAAATGGAGAGGAAGGGCAATTTCAGAAAGAATACTCAAGTCTGTTAAGTCAATATTCACCCTAACTTGGACTTCTCTAAAACCTGGGACTGATCAAAAAGTTTATCTCAAGCCCCTATATACCCGTTATCCATAGCTGATGAACCATAGTGCCCAATTCTGAGTAACTGAAAACGCACTTTTGCAAAATGCCAAAATGGCAAGGCAAAAAAGAAGTTGGAAGCAATATTTCTAAACTAGAGTGTTTAGTCAAGACTCTAGTACTTTCAACAGGTCATAGACTATTGTTTTTTTAAAAAAAAAAAAGCCCAGGCGTGGTGGCTCATGCCTATAATCTCAGTACTTTGGAAGGCCAAGGTAGGTGATCACCTGAGGTCAGGAGTTCAAGACCAGCCTGGCCAACATGGTGAAAACCCATCTCTACTAAAAATACAAAAATTAGCTGGGCATGGTGGTGAGATGCTGTAATCCCAACTACTTGGGAGGCTGACGCAGGAGAATCACTTGAACCTGGGAGGTGGAGGTTGCAGTGAGCTGAGATCATGCCATAGCACTCCAGCCTGGGCAATAAGAGTGAGACTCCTTCTGAAAAAAAACAACAACAACAACAACAAAAAAAAAAAAAAAAAAAAAAAAAACCACACCCCAGTACTTCTGTACTGGAGCAGTGTAACCCATCCTTCTCCAGGTAGAAGCATTACAGTGGCCTGGCACTGAACAATCCACGCATCTTCAGCAATTAAGCATCCACTGATGGTCCTTGACAAGTGAAGGGCCAAGGCCCAACCATACATGGACGAGCAGGTTAAGAGAAACCAAAATCACTACATTCCAGAGGCTCCACAAGGGTTAAACATTTGTAAGCCGCTTGGCCATAGTAATCTAATAAAAAAAGTACCTTTTTTTTTTTTTTTTTTTTTGAGACGGGGTCTTTGCTGCCTTGCCCAGGCTGGAGTGCACTGGCACAATCATGGCTCACTACAGCCTCAACCTCCTGGTCTCAAGTGATCCCCCAGCCTCAGCCTTCTGAATAAGCTGGGACTACAGGTGCATACCACCACATCCAGCAATTTTTGTGTCTTGTACAGACAGGCGTCCCCATGTTAATAGCCTGGGCTGGTCCTGGGCTCCCATCTCAGTGAATCTCCCACCTCAGCCTCCCAAAGTGCTGGGATTACAGGTGTGAGCTACCACACCTGGCCAAAACCAATATAAAACAGTGTACGTACAGGCTTACCTAACCCATCAACCTCAATGTAAAGTCTAACACAAGCAACTTGGCTTGAGCACAGCTCCCAGTTCTTCAGAAATAGTAGCCTAGGGGTCCCAGTAGGTAACTTCATGGCTCTTGTTTTAAGAAAGGTCCACTAACTCTGCCAAGAAAGAAAAAGTACAGCCTTACCAACAAAGTTGAACCACCATTACTACAGAGCTGTCCAGGGCACACAAGTCTGAAGGTGACGTGATTTTCCAAACCCACATTTACTAGAAAAGTGCCCCTAAACTAGCCAAGAACTTAGCAGTCTGTACCAAAGGCTCTACCTAACCACAGGAACCACTAAGACCCTGGAACCACTCTTTTTCAGGAAGTCCAAATTCTCAAAAGTCACTGGAACACTGAGACAACTACTGGTCTGGAGATGGATGTGCAATGTGGATTCTATTAAGTCCATGGAACTTAAGAGAGTGACATTATGAAAAGCCAAATTAGGCCAGATGCAGTGGCTTACACCTGCAATCCCAAAACCTTGGGAGGCCAAGGCGGGCAGATCACAAGGTCAGGAGGAGTTTGAGACCAGCCTGCCCAACATGGCAAAACCCTGTCCCTACTAAAAATACAAAAATTAAATTAGCTGGGCATGGTGGTGGGCACCTGTAATCCCAGCTACTTGGGAGGCTGAGGCATGAGAATCTCTTGAACATGGGAGGCGGAGGTTGCAGTGAGCTGAGATGGCGCCACTGCACTCCAGCCTGGGTGATAAAAGCAAAACTCTGCCTCAAAAAAAAAAAAAAAGGCAAATTAGTATTTTAACTTTCTTGAACATTTAGCCTCACAAAAAAAGCCTCTGAACAGCTGTCCCAGGTTAACCTTGCCAAACTGATTAAACCTTTTTCTCTAATTCCTGCAGCTCACATGTTTAGTGTGGTCTATATGCATTTGTAAAACCTTTCTTGCAAGTTTTCCAGATATGTACACATAAGCATGCTCTCCCAAAAAATCTAAATTCCTCTGAAGGAGATATTGCTTCTACCTTCTAAATGTCTTCCTAGTACCTAACTGGTATGATTACACAGGGCTATTTCCCACCCCCATTGGAATTTCCAGATCTCTCTGACTTTGAAACAATGCTCTTAGCAGTACGTCTGAAGTTCTAATACCCTCACCACCAACATACTGGGAAAGGACTATCAGTCCTAAAAGGATTAAGGAAGCTATCAGTGTCAATCCAAGTTTTTGTGTTTTGTTTTAAAGCAAGCTGATAGCCTTTGGTAGTAAGTTAGCTGAACCTAAAAATCATGGTCAGAGCTATAATTACATTCATATTCCCTGCTACTATATAGACAGCTAAGTCAAAAGGGCACTTCCAGAACTCTGGTCTGAAAAAACACTTCTTATAAAGAAATCTGTGCCAGGCGCAGTGGCTCACGCCTGTAATCCCAGCACTTTGGGAGGCCGAGGCGGGTTGATCACGAGGTCAAGAGATGGAGACCATCCTGGTCAACATGGTGAAACCCTGTCTCTACTAAAAATACAAAACTTAGCCAGGCGTGGTGGAATGTGCATGTAGTCCCAGCTACTCCGGAGGCTGAGGTGGAAGAATCCCTTGAACCAGGGAGGCAGAGGTTGCAGTGAGCCAAGATTGCGCCACTGCACTCCAACTTGCCGACAGAGCAAGACTCTGTCTCAAAAAAAAAAAAAAAAGAAAAAGAAAACTGGTGTCAGAGTCAAGTTTAAAAAGAGATTTTGAGAAGGCAAATCTGGTCATCCCACAAGGATAGCAAGCAGAGTATCACAGGCAGACAGCTAAAATATTCATAGATTATTCTTCTTCTTCCATAAAAAGAATGTGTCACTGAAGAAACACAGATATGTTTTTAATCTTAAAATGGTAATTTCAAAAACAAAGACTGTATCTACTCATATAATCCTTCAAATAAGATTTAGTGAGTCCCCAAACATTTGGACTTTGTACTGATCCAGGAACAGGGGGTAGAGGTATATTAACTTTATCATAAGTGATGCACAGAAGTCCAGTAATAACTGTATAAATAAACCCAAGCCCTTGGGTAGGCTTATAATCCCAAATACAATAGCAAGACCGAGGATAAAGATGACACTCAAACTGCAGTATCTTTTTTCTCCTTTCTAATAATCCAGAAATACAAACCCAACCCAAAAAAAAAATCTCACCAAGCAATCCTTTAAACCTCAAAGTCTCATAAGCCAAGCTTTTGGGGCAATACTTACCTTACTATTGACACTTAGGATCGTCTTTCCAAACTTCTATTTTCATTATGCAACTGCAATTGACTTTTAACAGAATACCACATGCCCTGAACTTAGCATGGAGCCAGGGCCACAGAGGTTTCACTGCCAGGGCAGCATCTTTCCATTTCAATTTTTTTTTTTTTAGATGACTTCTTACCTCCACACTAACTGCCCTCCCCCAGCTCTACCCTTTTTCTATCCCCTAATCTTTTTCCCCAATGTTATTTTACTCTACCACACGAGGAGGCTAGCATTACCTTTGCTTGAAAACTGTTTATTAATTTGCCTGTCAAACATTCTATAGAACCGTTTACATCTTACTACAGAAATCTCCTGGGTACATATTGACAGCTCAGCAAGTATTTACACAAAGCTCTGAAACATTTGGTTCCTTCAAAAATGAAGAAGATGCTGTATCAAGCAAAGAATTACCAAACACCATTCCTTCTACCTTTTCCCCTCCTTTATAAAGGGAAGCTGCCTTCCTCTAATATGCCTAAATTACACTTCTAAACTACTAAGCCAGGAAGAAAAAGAATGGAAATTCAGATGTGCTGGAGAAGAGAAATAGCATTTCCAGGACCATCTGCGAATCACACCATGTAGTTTTTAAAACTATAGCTATAAGAAACAACAAATGCACCTATGAAATTGACCCTGAAACACAGCTTTTCCTCTTCCAGTCTCAGGAACTTTTGCTTCTCTCTCAGCAAAACTTACGGGGCAAGTCCAGGCACTCAGATTAAAACCAACTGCCCAAACTAGACCTAGACCTGCCCAAACACCAGGAGTCTGGAGAGCTTAATGCTCCCTCTCTCCCTACCCCTCTGCAAAAGAAGTAGAATATTAACACTGAACTTATGAATATCCATTCCTCACCCCAACCCCAAGTGTAAAAGCCTCCTGGGGATCCTGAAGCAACTAGTTTTCAAGTCTTGCTTTAATGAAGTCTGCCTAACTTTCCAATGACTATTTAGTGTTTTAAAACCACCAGCCAGGTGGAATGACTAATGACAAACAGATTAACAGTTTCAAGGCAACAGTCTGGTAGAGCTTTTTCTGTAAAGGTCCACAGATCACCACGGCACCCAACTCTTCAAAGCTTGTTCCTGTGAATACTCAGAAGAAAACAGCTTTGAGTTCCTTCAGGCCAGTGGAAGAAATAGGAAGAAATATGGTCTCAAGACCCCTGCTATTACGTACAGAAAGCTGCCCTCATAACAAGCCAGCTATGGAAGCACAAATATGTAGCATCAGAGAGTGAGAAGGTCATGTGGACTGATGAGGAGAAAATGAAAAATAGAGAAAGCAAATGACCTGCCCAGTGTCACACAGCTTAATCTGGAGCTGTATGCGGAACCTAAGCCTCCTCCTTCCTCATCCTGTGTTGAGTCCTGTGCTCTTTACCACTAATGCAACACACAACTCAAGGGTGCATCAGTAATGTTAACAACCAATCTAAAGGCTCACTGGCAGAAAAGAACAACTCGGTGCCAATATATTTGAATACCACATTTTTACCATATTTACAAGCTTCAGTTGCTTCTAGAATTTTGAGAGTTGAAGCCCATCAATACAACCTTTTGAAGGGTGGGAATAGGAAAGGGCCCTCCCCATTACTTTGTTAGCTTATTCCCACATTTTAAAAAAGTTCATTAACCTCTTTGCAAAAGGTCTACTATAGACATTACATCCTAAAGGAGTCAATCCAACATATGAATGTTTAATGCAATCCAAGACATCCTGTTTCAGCAGGTGCTGCTTGTCATGGTTACCCATCTCACACACAAAGAAAGAGACCTAAAAAGTCCTCACAGGGCCCAATACACAAGAAGCCAAACTTGGTCCTGGCTGCTTTCTTGGTTCTCACACCACCATCTCAATCCTCATCACCCCAGTTCTCTCATGAACAGTAGAGAAACATGAAACCCCCACAACTAAAGTGCCATCTCAGTGTGGTTTTCCTGGTCCCTCCTACTTGAGAGAGCTCCAAGAGTCCTGTATTTCAGCCAGCCTAGAATTTCTGCCAGTAGGCAATCCCATAATAAATCCAGGATTCCTGTATTTGTTTCCCAGGAGTCAGAAATATCATTTGATATTTCCATAGCAGAAACTAACAACCAAACTTCTACAATCAAATCCAACTTCATCCTGGACTACTTACTGTATTTCATTTTTTTACCTTGGTAAACTGGTACTACTCTCTAAGTATTACCGATAAAAAGTGTCCCAATAAAAAGCCTTAAATCAAGTTTATGTGTGTAAGTAACCTAAAACTATTTCAGCAGTACTGGAATTCAACACCTTGAGATACACTACTTATGAAAAGGGATAAAGGAAAAGATTGTCTGCTGGGATCGTCCCAGCTCCTGTGATAAAGACATAACCACAATACACAC